GCAGCAGCATGATAAATTGAGAAAAGATTGAGGGTGTCAAAGAATTCACATTGCTTGGTTCTACAATCGATGCCAATGGAAGCAGCAGTCAGTACATTAGACAACGTATAGCACTGGGCAAATTGGCTGCAAAGGAACTCTTTCAAGTACTGAGGAGCAAGGATGTCTCCTTGAGGACTAAGGTGTGTCTGAGCAAGCCATGATATTTTCAATCGTCCCATATGCATGTGAGAGCTGGACAATAAATAAGGAGGACCAAAGAAGAGTTGATGCTTTTGAGCTGTGGTTTTGGTGAAGAATACTGAAAATATCATGGACTTCTATAAGAACTAACAGATCTGTCCTGGAAGAAGTGCAGCTGGAATGCTCCTTGGAAGCAAGAATGGCCAGACTTCATCTCAGCTACTTTGGTCATGTTGTCAGAAGGCACTATTCCCTGAAGAAGGATGTCATGCTTGGTAAGGTGGAGGGTCGAGGAAAGAGGGGAAGGCTTTCAACGAGATGGATTGACATGGTGGCTGTGACTATGGCCTCCAGTATAGCAAGGATCATGGAGCTGGCGCAGGATTGGGTGGTATTTCGTTCTGTTGTGCATAGGGTTGCTATGAGTTGGAGATGAGTCAAGGGCTCCTAACAACAACATAAATAAGGAGCTCTGGTGGTGTAGTGGTTAAGCTGCTTGGCTGCTAACCAACAGGTCAGTGGTTCAAACCCACTGACTTTTCTGGGTGGGAGAAAGACGTGGCAATCTACTCCTGTAAAGATCTCAGCCCAGGAAACGTTATAGGGCAGTTCTACCCTGTTACATGGGGGTGCTATGAGTCAGAATAACCAGACAGCAATGGGCTTTTTTTTTTTTTTTTTCATTTGGGTGAAAGTTTACAGAGCAAATTCACTTTCCATACAGCAGTTCACACACACGTTGTCTCATGACACTGACTACAATTTATCTCAATGCAACAGCTCCCTTCCCACTTCCTCTGGATAGTTACCTCTTCCCTCTGTCCATCCCTCTATGCAGTCCTGCCCGTGAACTGTCTTCCTATGCATAAACAGCCCTTCTTTCTCCCATGATTTTTCTCTCCAAGGAGTGTTATCTCCCTCAGGTACATGTTCAGCTCCTATACCTGTCTTTTGTTTGGCTGGAAGCCACAGTTCCAGAACAGTGTGGGTTCAGTTCCAGACCTGAAGGGCAGCTAGGGACCACAGTCTCAGTGGTTCTACCAGGCTCTATCAGACTAGCAAACCTGGTCCCCCTTTTTTCCCCAAATGATTTTGAGTTTCATTCCACATTGTTCTCCCTCTCTATCCAGGATCTCCTACATAGATCTCCCTCTGAGTGGTTGACAGTGGTAGCCAGGCACATCTGGTTCTTCTGGTCTCATAGTCATATAGGTGTGTACTGGTCTTGAGGACTAATTGTTTCCATGAATCTTTGATTTTCTTCATTCTTCTTTGCTCTAGATGAGGAGAGACCCATCGTTGCATCTAGATGGCTGCTTGCAAGCTTTTAAGATCCCAGTCACTACTTGCCAAAGTAGGAGGTGGAAATGTTTTGTGTAGTATATTATGCAGATTGAGCTTGATGTCTCCTAATGCGTTCTTGTTGTTGAAATATAAATATATTACCAATTTCAGCACTACCTTCAAGCGCTATACTTCAAGTCCCATAAAGAATCCCCAAAGAGACATTGCTTTGGTCTCTGGGCTAATTTCAGACTACAAGTCCCATAATCCACCGCTTAGGAAATGTCTATCATTTCTTTCTTCTTTTTTCATTCATTCAAACATTGTATAGACTACCCACAGCATGCCAGGCCTCATACTAGGGATATATCAATGCGCAAAATGGACAAAAGTTTTGCCTTCATGTAGTTTATAATCTACATTCGTTAGGAGTTCTAGGTGATTGCCTCCGAAACGTCTGGAAAACTACAACTCCCATGAGGCATTGTGTCTGTTTGCTGGGACTACAATTCCCAGGAGACCTTGCGCGCCAAACCGGCCCTCCGTTTTTTCCTCTTCAACTTCCTTTTAGGTCGCAAGGTCAACTTCTAGCCCCGCCTCTCGCCCCCCTTCATAAAGACAGGCTTTTAAGAAAATTCGACAGCACGTGATTCCTTGAAGTCTTTCTTTTCCAACTAGGAGTTTAGTAAAACCTTAGTAGCGTTAGCCAAATAGTCCACAGTTTTCAGCGAGGTTGGGGAGGGATAACAGAGTAGGCCTATAACCCTCAGGTAACTCCTTGCACGCCGGAAGATCTACCGCTCCCAGGAGGCAGCGCGGCAGGCAGGGCGGTCCGTAGCTCTGCCTGCAGGACCCCGGAGTGGGCGAGGACTGCCCGGAGCGGCGCCCACAAGACTCCGGCTGCTACTCATGCCGAGTTGAGTCCGCGGGAGCCGCTGTCGCCGACTCGTCCCCGTTGCCGCCGCCCCGCGCGGCCCCGCCGCCGGCCAGGATGCTGGAGGAAGCGGGCGAGGTGCTGGAGAACATGCTGAAGGCGTCGTGCCTGCCTCTTGGCTTCATCGTCTTCTTGCCCGCCGTGCTGCTGCTCGTTGCGCCGCCGCTGCCCGCTGCCGACGCCGCGCACGAGTTCACCGTCTACCGCATGCAGCAGTACGACCTGCAGGGCCAGCCTTACGGTGCGTGCACTCCGCGCCCCTGGCTTCCCTCCTCCGGCCCCGGGCGCCGCCGGCCCAGGCGCCGGTCGCTCGGCCTGTCCAGGTGAAATCTCCCCGCAGCACTCACCTGGGCGGCCAGATCTTTACTTGGCCCCTGGCGAGGCAGAGCCGGGCTCCCCAGGACCCCCCTCTTGGGTCCTCCTCTCTGGTTGTCTAACTTCCACGTGGCCCCGGCCTCGCCGCCTAGTTCCTCTGACATACCCGTGGCCCCGACCCGCCCATGGCCCACACCCTCGGGCCATGCTCCCCCTTCTGGACCCTTCATTTCCTCTCTGGTCCCCAGCGGGGCCCAGACCGAGCTGCTTTGCCGTAGTGTCTCTTTCCCAAGGCTCCTGCTCTGATCTCCAGCCCCAGGAGCTCTCCCACGGGCCACCCCCTATGGCCCTGCCTCCAAACGGGAACTTTGGCCTTCTTCATTTGAAGTTGAGCCACCTTGCTTGGTTTCTGGGCGAGGTTCCACCTCGCCCCCACTCTCCACGGCCCCTGGGGGCTCTCCCATGCTCATTCTTCACTCTTCCCAAGCCTACCCCCCACAGCAAGGCTTCTTCTCTGCCAAGGCTCCAAGCTCACGGTGCTCCCAGCTCCCGGGCCACGCTCCCCAGAGTCACCCTTTGCCTCGCCTCCCGTAGGGTTTCCCGGGCTGTAACCTTCAGTGAAGCAGCCTGCCTTATCTCCTCCACTAGGGGCTGCTGGGTTTCAACCACTGATCTTTACATAGCCGTTGAGTGCTTAACCACTGCACCACCAGGGCTCCTCCCCCAGTGCCCAGATCATTCTACATTCCCTTGTTTTCTGACTGTAAACGGGTTCAGGACCCCCAGCGAGGTCCAAGTGTTGCTGAACCTTCTAGCACCCCAGAAGCAGCTAGTTTTACTCCCCGCCTCACCCCTGCAAGTCAAAGCCTGACCTCCCCATGAAGGGGCCCCTTCCCCAAGTTCTCCTGGACCCCTTGTTTTTGAGCCCAGCTTCTCCTGGACTCATCCTTTTGTTAGGACATCTCAAGGCCAGCCTGGGGACCCCTCGGCCCTCAGCCTCTGCCAGGCCCTTGGGGACCCCCAGTCCCTGGAGACTGGTCCCAACCTTCCCTTAGCTTGCCCCTCCTCAAAGCCACTTTGTTTCCATTTACAGCCCTGGGGCTTAACTAGGTGGCTCTGCCTCTCAGGGGACCCTTGTTGCTATCTGGGGGCATTTGTGGTTGTCACAACTTGTGGGGGTGCTGCTGGTGTTAGAGGGTGCAGGGTTGCTGCTCAGCCACCTGCAATGGACAGGATACCCCTGACCCAGAGAACGATGCGGTCTCTGGGTCAGCAGTGCCGTGTGGAGAAAGCCTGGCTGTAAGTCTAGGGTCCCAGGCCCTGGAGGGGTGAGGTGGAAAGCCTGGACCCTTGGCCTCTGTGAGCACATTTGTAGGTGCCAGTTGACATTTTTCTGGGACGAAGCGTCTTTACCAGTGTCATCCGGTAGAATTTCTCCCACAAGGGCCATGTTTTTTGTCCTCGCTGTCTGGTACAAGAGCCCCCAGCCCCACACAGCTCCTGAGCACTTGAAACATGCCGAGTCCTGCCACGGAACCAGATGTTTCACGTTGTTCTTTGTAGCGTTAAAAAGCCACGGGTGGCTAGCCAGCTGCTGTTGCGTGGACCCTGACTCATGGCGCCGCGTGTATTAGAGCACAGCTATGCTCCGGAGGCTGTGAGGGTGTCAGTGGCTAACTTTTCAGAAGCAGATGCCAGGCCTTTCTTCTGGGCACTTCTGAGTGGACTTGAACCACTAAACTTTCATTCAGTAGTCAGTACGCAGACCAACTGTACCACCCAAACCAGACCCAACCCCCTGCTGACTCACAGCGCCCCTAGAGGACAGAGTGGAACTGCCCCACGGGGTTTCCAAGGCTGTCAGTCTTTACAGAAGCAAAGCCCAAACCAAACCCACTGGCGTGGAGTCTATTCTTATTTTTACTCACAGCGCCCCTAGAGGACAGAGTGGAACTGCCCCACGGGGTTTCCAAGGCTGTCAGTCTTTACAGAAGCTAGCTGCCACATCTTTCTCCTGTAGAGTAGTTAGTAGGTTCCAGCTGCCGGCCTTTTCATCAGCAGCCACATCCACCAACCACTGTGCCACCAGGGCTCCTCTGCCAGCATAGCATTTGCATATTATGAAGTTAAACCAAAAGCCAAACCAAACCCACTGCTGTCGAGTTGATTCCGACTTGCAGCAACACTAGAGGACAAGAGTAGAACTGCCCCATAGGGTTTCCAAGGCTGTTTGTTGATCTTTATGAAAACAGACTGCCTCATCTTTCTCCCAAAGAGCAGCTGGTGGGTTCAAACCACTGACCTTTTGGTTCGCAGCTGAATGCCTTACCCACGGTGCCACCAGAGACTCCTGCATAGACAGAGGCTAGACGTGTCCAGAGCAAGCGAGTGGGCCGTGTTCTGTTGTGATCCTAGGGTTGTCATTGGCTGTTTTTTCAGAAGTAGACCTCCAGGCCTTCCAGGCTGCTTCTGGCTGAACTCAAACCTCTGACCTTTCAGTCAGCAGCCAAGGGTGGTCACTGTCCCCACCCCCGGGCCCCTCCAGTGTGGTTGGGGTCACCACGTTGCACAGTGCACGGGTACTGCTCTTGTGGGTTTCTCAAAGGGATCCCTGCGCTGAACGGCCCCGATTCCAGGCCCCACTCCCACCCCTCCCCTCCGCTCCTCACACACAGCCTTGCCCAGAGCCTCTTGCCCAACCCCTTCACTTCTCAGCCCTTGGGCCAGTGGATAGTAAGCAGCTGGCTGCCGCCGCCCCCCCATGCTCCCCTGGCTGATGTGCTGTCCTGCTTGTGGCTGAAGTGGGACCCTCTCTCCCTCCTCCCGGGTCTGCTCAGGAACCAGCAGGCCGTCCCGCCTTTGTCTCGGTGCACAGCCTTGCCGACCCTTCTGGAGCATTCTTTTTCTTTCCACAATCTCCCTGTTGTTTGCCACATTGCCTGCCCTGTGTCACAGGCCCTCATTCCCTCACTTACCTGTTTTCTTGCTTCCTTTCCATGAAAACCATTGATGTCAAGTCACCTCCTAGCGCCCCTGCGTCACAGTGTAGCACTTCTGCAGGGGGTTCCCTTGGCTGTAACCTGGACAGAATCAGATATCCAGGTCTCTCTCCTGCAGGGCCACTGGGTGGGTTCAAACCTGTCAGTCAGCAGCCAGTCCTTAACCACTGCCCCACTGAATATCCCCCTTCCTGCCTGCCCCTCTACTCTTCATCTCCCCAATGAGAAACCCACAAGCCGCCTGTCCCGCGGTGGGGACGTTTCCCCTGTGCCTGGTGTTCACCTGGCTCGATAATCTGGAGAGACCCTGGGCAGCGGGAGTGAGTGATGGAGCCCGAGTGGGCGTCTCAGCTGTGGTGCTTGCCTTTCAGGCTCCGTGTGCACAGCGCCTAGAAGTGTGGTGCGCGCGGGGCGGCAGCCCTGTCTGCAGGACCAGGGCTGGAGGGTGGGGCAGATTGTTATCACCGTGGGAGAAGCAGCCGGATTGTGGTGTAAGGCCCGCAGTGGCACAAGCGGTTTGCAGTCAGCTGCTGACAGGTTGGTGGTTCGAACCCACCCAGCAGCGGTGCGGAAGAAAGGCCTGGCAGTCTGCTTCCACAGAGATATTATTAGCTGCCGTGGAGTTGGTCGTGTTTAGTAGTGACCCCGTGTGTGTAGGATAAACGTGTTCTAAAGAGTGTTCAAGGCTATGAGCTTCCGGAAGCAAGTCGCCAGGCCTGTCTCTGGAGCCATCTCTAGGTGGGTTCAAAGCGCCAGCCTGAGTAGTTGCACCCAGGGACCGTAAAGATGACAGCCAGGACAACCCTGTGGAGCACAGTGCCCTTCGGTAGCACACGGGGGCGCCGTGAGTTGGCATCAGAATCGCGGTGTGTTGGGGGGGAGGCATCTCATAAACGAGTTTGTGAGTGAGGCGGGGGGGCGGGGCCTGGCAGCAGCCCTGAGCACAGCCGCGCCCCTCCGCCCCACCCCGCCCAGAACCGCCTCTGTGAGCTGCTGCTTGAGGCCACCGGGCCGCGTCTTCAGAACCCGCTCCCCCTGTGCTTGCAGGCGTTGGCTTTGCTCTTTCCCAACTTCCTTTCAGCAGCTGTTGAGACACTCAAGGCTGGGCCGGGCGAAGTTTCCAGCTCAGACTGGTGAGCCCAGTGCTCTCTATGCTCAGAGGTGAGCTGGTTCTGAGGGTGATGGGCCAGGTTCAAGGCTGCGGGTGATCAGACACGCCTTTCCTGCCAGACGGACTCTGGCCCTCCTTCCAAGGAGCTGTTCTCCGCTGAGTCCCAGATGTTAGTTCCGTGATTGTAATGACAGCAGGTGGTGTTTGCTGGAGGGCAGTGATGGGTTAGCGGTAGAATTCCCGCCTTCCGTGCGGGGCCCCAGGTGGAGTCCTGGCCAGTGCACCCCCCGCGGCCCCCACCTCCGTCCACGGGTGCTGTGTGCCTCTGTGAGGCTGAACAGGTTTCAGTGCAGCGTCCACATTCAGGGCGACTAGAAGGAGAGGCCTGGTCGGCGACTTTGAAAACCGGCCACTGAAAACGCTGTGGACCAGTGATGCGACCTGCATCTGGTCGTGGGGGTGGTACAGGACCAGGCAGTGGCGTTTCCTTCTGTTGTGGATGGGGTCGCCGCAAGTCACGGCCAGCTGGATGGCAGCTGACAGCAGCCACAGAGGGTTTGCTGAGCGTGCGCTGAGCCGGCCGTGTGTTTACGCCCTGCCTCGTCAATAGATGAGCCTCATCCCACCCTCTGAGGCTGCTGTCAGCTGCCATCCAGCTGGCCGTGACTTGGGGCGAGGCCGCCACTCGGGGGTCCCGGCTCCAAGGACCCACACCTCACCTGGCAGGGTGGTCAGATGACAGCAGGTCACCTTGTTTGTCGATAAAGCTTTATCGGCACACGACCACGCCCCATTTGTCATGATTGCTGTGTGCTGCAGTGTCTGAGTCGAACATTGTGACAAAGGGGTGTAGTCAGTAAAGGTGAACATGTTGGCCTTCGGGCCCTTGGTAGAAGTTTGCCCAGTCTGTTCCTGTTTTAGGAACCAGAGGCTTCTTTCTGTCCAAGTGCCCAGTGCCCGTCTTTGTGGCTGCCCACCATGCCCTGCCTTGTGTGAGGTGGCCACTCTGTTTTGACCTCCCTGTCAGCCACAGGCGCAGAGGAGGAGCTGGGAGGGGCCCTGAGCCCTGGGCGAGTTCCCTCCTGCCTCTGGGCTCAGTGAGGACATGGCCAGAAGACCTTAGGTGCCAGCTTCATCCTGACGGGGCCCTGGGACCTGCAGGGAGCCCAGGACGCAGTAGCCATACCTGCCTGCCTTGCTGGCTGACGTCAGCACGTTCTTCCCCTTTCTCTGGGCTCCGCTGCTCCCTCTCACAAGCCTGGGGGGACGGTGCGCGGGGCTGAGGGCTCCTGGGCACAGGTGACATGAAGGGGGAAGGGCGTTCCTGGCACGCCTTGGCCTCCAAGGACCTCCCCAGTCTGCCCCCCTCAAAGCTCCCTGTCCAACTTGAGCTGTCGACTCTGGGGGTTCAGGGCAGATGGCCAGTCTGCTGACACTGCCCCTTGGGATGCTCCTGAGACCACCCTCCTCCCCGACCTGGGACAGGTGTCACTTCTGTGTCCCGCATGCACACCCGCGTGAGCCCATCAGAACGTGCTGTTTGGGATTGATTCACCCCCGTCCACCTACCTCTCCAGAGCTCCTAGTGAGCGGACAGCAAGCACTGCGGTTCTGGCCCCAAACCGAATCGATGTGGAGGCCTCATGAAAACTGGTGGCCCCCGTAGCGTGGACCTTAGGACCACAGGGTCGACTCTGGCAGGCCATCGAACCTGTTGCTTGGTGGCAGAGTTTGTGAGTGCTTCCTGCCTTGTCTCAGACTGGAGGCCCAGGGGCCAAGGCCCGCTGCACAGATGTTAGTATGCTTTGTGTGGTCATGGTTGGTCTGCACCGTGTTTAAGCCTTTGGATTTGCCACTGCCCGGCCCCATGCCGTCCTGTGATCGGTTGTGGATTAAACCCTTGCGCACAGGGTTCTCGTGTGCTCGACAGCAAGGCTACGGCTCCCCCTGAACCAGGTCCCCGGCCCGCCTGGAACGCCTCCTGCTAACAGGTGAACGATTTTAGAAGGTCCTGAGGCCTGTGAGGGATTCCAGGAGGGATTAGAGAGACCAGGTGGCCTCCTCAGATCTGGAGGGTGCAGCACCACATGGGAGCCACAGGGAGGATGCCCCGCAGAGGGGCGACAGACCAGAGCTGCAGGGAGACAGTGGGCAGGCAAGGCTGGAGGGGTGGGGCCGGAGAGCCAAGCAAGGGGAGGAGCTTGGGCGCTTTCCTGAGGGCACTGGGGGCTGTGGAAGGAAGGATCTTCGTGCAGCCATGGGGGGGCGGCCTGGGCGCCAGGGTTGTGATGGACAGCCACCGCCTGTTTTTGTAAATAAAGTTTTATTAACACACAGCCGTGCCCGTACAGTGCCTTATTGGCTGTGGCTGCTTTCTCTCCACAGTGGCAGAGCTGTCCTCCAGACAGACAGCTTGGCCTGCGGAGCTCACAATATGATTCTCTGGCCCCTGACCTAGAATTACGAGCAGAGTGTGGGGGAGAGGGAGAAGGGCTGTGGCTTTCCTTAGATTCCCAAGAGATCCTGTAGGTCCCCAGGGGTAAGAGCCTTGGTTTAAAGTGAGCCCTGGTGGCACAGCAGCTCAGCGATGGGCTGCTAACTGAGGGTCAGCGCTCGGACCCGTCATCAGCTCCAGGAAGAGAGGCCTGTGATGTGCTCCTGTCAAGGTGACAGCCTGGGAAACCATGGGGCCGCTGTGCTTTGTCACACGGGCTCACCGTGAGTCGGAGTTGAGTCCACGGCACCCACGGCAGCAGGGCCCTGGGCAGGGCGATGTTTCGGCCGCTGCTGATGGAGCTGAGCCATGGCCATCCGTGGTCCCTGTCACCAGCTACATTCCAGACACTGGGAAGGAAGGAGCCTGGGAGGCTCCCCAGTGCCTGGTGCAGGCTGGCAGTGGGTTCAGGGCGGCTAGGGGCTAGAGCTGAGCCCACCCCGTGTGGCCTGCCACCCGCTGAGAAACACTCCCACCCCCGTTCCCTGCAGGCACGAGAAATGCGGTGCTCAACACGGAGGCACGAACCATGGACGCGGACGTGCTGAGCCGCCGCTGCGTCATGATGCGCCTGGTGGACTTCTCCTATGAGCAGTACCAGAAGGCTCTGCGCCAGTCAGCCGGTGCCGTGCTCATCATCCTGCCACCTGCCATGTCCGCTGTGCCGCAGGACGTCATCCGCGTGAGTCGCACTCCCCCGTGACCCTCATCTCCCTGCTGCCTCCTCCCTCCTCTGCAGCCCTTTCTCTTCCCTGGATGGACCCCCCCCTCCCCGCTGCCGCCTGCTCCCCCTCCCTCTCCCCTCCTCTTTCTCTCCTGCCCCTTCCCCTGCCTGCATAGCTTCCCCTTGGCTCCACTGCAGGAGCTTTTGCGGAGTCAGCTGTGTGACCTGAGGCAGGTCATCCCCCCTCCCCTCCACTTTTGGAAAACAGAAGTGGTGCTTGTTGCCCGTGATCATATCCAGGGGCGATTTAGCTCCCAGGGGACACTGGGTGATGTCTGGAGACATTTTAGTTGTCACAACTGTTGATCTGTACCCCATGTCAGCCAAGGAGAGAGGCCCTGTGTTAATCACTGATGGGGTGGGGTGGAGTGGAGTTCGATCCCTACCTCACACCATACCCCAGAATAGATTCTCGCTGGATTAGACAGTAAGGAGCTCTGGTGGCATAGTGGGTAAGACTATGCCAGAAGGTCAACGGTTCAAACCCACCAGCTGTTTTTTGGGAGAAAGACGAGGTAGCCTGCTTCCATAAACATTTACAGCCTTGGAAACCCAGTGGGGCATGCTATGAGTCAGAATCAACTCAATGGCAGTGGGTTTGTTTTTTAGGGTCAGCTGGTGTTCAGCAGGTCAGTCCTCTGGTCTCTGGGACTCTGCCCTGATGCATGGAGACCTGACGTACTCCAAGAAGATGCTAGGGGTGACAGGGCTGAGGCTGGCTCTGTGCTGGGTGGCTCGGGCCATGGTTGGCTGCTCCTGCCGTCAGCCTGTGAAGCCCACACTGGCTGCCCAGTGTACAGCTGCAGAAACCGAGGGTCAGTCCCAGTGGTCCCCATCAACCCAGAAACCAAACCCAGACCCACGTGGCTTCCTAGCCCCTTCTCCCAACCCACCCTCTTCCTAACACCATCCAGGGGCTCTGAGGGGCCTTCACAGACCTTGCCCATCCTTTAGTCCTCCTTGTCCACCTCCTGCCCCTACCCTTGTTGCCCACGTGAGCCATGGCTCGTTAGGCAGCCCCCCCCCCCCCCACATCCTGGGCCTCAGGTCCCCCATAACCCAACCCAACTGGGACTGCTCTTTGCCCTTGCGTCTCATACTCCACTTAGCATGCCTCCAGGGATGAATGTTTATGGCCCCCTGTGTGAGGTCGAGGAAGCTCACAGCTGATGGGGGAGAGTGGTCCCCTATAGTGAGGTTGAGGGAGCGCATGGCTGAGGGGGGGGAGAAGACACGACCCAGGATGGCAGCATCGCTCAGGAGGCTGTCTGCTGCCTGGCTCAGCAGCGGCCACACGCAGGGCTGGTTCCCTGGAGCAGGAGGCCTGCCCAAGGCCAGGGCGCAGGGAGCCCCCGGGAGGGGAGGAGGAGCAAGGAGGCCGCCTGCCTTCTCACCGTCGTCTGTAGCTTGGTGGGGTTCTAGGTCTGAGAACACCACAGGGGGCAGCGCCTGGGAGCCCCAGTGACTCCAGGGCCTCCTGACCTCCCTCCCGGCCAGTGCATCTCACACATGAAGGCCTGAGCATTGCCGTGGGGCTGAATGAGGTTCCACAGAGGTTCCCGACTCAAGACAGACCAGGAAGAAAGGCCTGGTGATTCTTCCAACAATCACCCCACGAACACCCTCTGGATCCCGATGGCCCGGTCCCGTTGTGCATGGGGTCCCAGTGGGTCCGGGGCCGACTCAGTGGCAGTGAACAGCAACCACGTGTCAGGCGCACGTGTCGGGCACAGTTTTGGGGTGAAGCAGGCAGGCTCTGAGTGGATGGAGGTGTGCTGATGAGCACCATTTTTCAGATGATCGATGTGTAGGGATTGGGGTTGGGCTAACGGGCCTCCCTCAGCTTGTCGTGGAGAAGGAGCCCACCGGGGGCCGGTACCCAGGCTGCCCTGGCTCACTGACGGAGCAGAGCCCAGGCCCAGCCCCTAATGCCAGCTTTCCCACCTCTTCCCCCAGCAATTCATGGAGATTGAGCCTGAGATGCTGGCCATGGAGACCGTCGTCCCCGTGTACTTCGCCGTGGAGGACGAGGCCCTGCTCTCCATCTACGAGCAGACACAGGCAGCGTCCGCCTCCCAGGGCTCCGCCTCAGCTGCTGAAGGTGGGCACAGGGTGTGGGGCCAAGGCGGGGTGACATAGGCTGATTGGGGAAAAGGACAGGGCTATAGGGTAGCACAGCCCTCTGCTGGGGCGTTGACACGCTTGCCTGGGGTGGAGGGTCCCTTGCAGCAGGAGACCTTCCTAAGGCAGGTAGCGCAGGGTGGATGGGCCAGAGGGGACACAGGGGGGCCTTAGTGTCCAGGTGATGTCCCTCAGGGGAGGGGACAGGAGCAGACTTAGTGTCCAGGTGATGTCCCTCAGGGGAGGGAGGGGATGGAGAGTGGGCTTTGTGTCCAGGTGATGTCCCTCAGGAGGAGGGGATGGAGAGTGGGCTTAGTGTCCAGGTGATGTCCACTGCAGTGAGGTGGGCTGTCTCTGAGTTGCCGAGCTGCGGAGGATAGCAGCATCTTGGGGTCCTTACAACCACAAGGTTCTGTGTGATCTGTCTGGTCCCTGAGGAGTGCAGATGGTTAAGCAGTCAACTGCTAGCTGCAAGGTCGGTGGTTTGAACCCACCCAGGATGCCTTGCGAGATGGACCTGGCAGTCTACTTCTGAAAGGTACAGCCCTGAAGACCCTGTGGGGCAGGTCCACTCTGCACGTGGGGGGCAGCCAGGAGTCGGAGTCAACTTGACAGCATCTAAACCACGACCACAGGTGTGATCCGTGGCAGTAGAGGTTGGGGGCCGTTCATAGATTATGCAAAGCAGACGGTCTCTACGCAGCTAAAAATCTGCCTCTGTGGGCTATTTTTAAAGCAGCTGGATGTGCACAAATTTGGACTTGGCGCTGGCGGCTTGCTTTTGGGCCAACGGTGAAGAAATAAACCCTCTGGGGCTGTGCCCAGCCACCTCTGGCTCGTTTCTGTGTAACAGGAGGTTCTCTGTGGGAGGGGCCGCCTGGCCAGTACACGGCCCCACCTCGCCTGTGCTTGAGGTGCGGGTTACTGGGCCCTGCCCTGCCTTTTGCATCTCTACCCTGGGCCTGGGGCCTGGGGCCTGGGGCTCTGCGTTCTGAGCACCACTAGTTTTGACATAAATGCTCAAGAACCACTCTCTGGGCGGAGCCAGGTCCGACGCAGCCACTTGTGTGGGCTGCAGAACACAGCATCCATACGCTCTGTCTGTCCTGCCTGCCCCACAGACTTCAGGCATGACCTCGGTTAAGGACGTTAGGGGGTCTGTAGCATTCTCAGAGAAAGGAAGACCATCACTTTCACCCAGTGAGTCTGGGGAGCTGGCATCTCCGGGGCGGGACGGAGCAGGGAACGGCCAATGTCAAGAGCCAGAGGGCACAAAGGGTCAGAGGTCCCCAGCTGATGCACGGACGAGCTCCCCGCGCCCCTCCGGACGCGGCATGTTACTGCGCCCCAAGAAGGAATGAGGGACTGACACACAGTACCACCTGGAGGAAGCTCAGAAGTGCTCCACAGGCTGAAATGACGACCTCACCTCACGGCGCCCCGACACATGTGCGAGTAGAATGAACCCCGTGGGGCTGCCAACAGCTGATCTTTCAGAAACACATCCCAGGCCTGCCTTCTGAGGTGCCTGAGGGTGGACTCGAACCACCAACTTTGTGGTGAGCAGCCAAGTGCGAATACTGTTTGCACTGTGCAGGGAGTCCTTTACCTGCTCACAGGAGTGAAAATACGACACAGAGGGGCTGGTGTATGGTTCTACTTCAGTGAAACATGTAGCAAATCCGTAGACCATGGTTGCCAGGGGCTTGGGGAAGAAAGAGGAAGTTATTAAAATAATAATGATAATAATTAAAGAAGTACCGCTTAAAGGAGCCACAGAAGGCTGTGCACGCCTCGTGCTGCAAACTTCCTGGGGCCTGACACGCCCCTCTGTCTCCAGTGCTACTGCACACAGCCACCGCCAATGGCTTCCAGATGGTCACCAGTGGGGTCCAAAGCAAGGCTGTGAGCGACTGGCTCATCACCAGCGTGGAGGTGAGTGCTCTGTCCTCCCACGCAGGACCCCGACCCAGAGCTGGGCCCCTGCCTTTACCCCCAAGGGTCCAGGGCAGAGCAGGGGAGGCTTAGCTGGGGCCTCTTTTGGATGCCTGGGCTGTGTGCCTTACCATCCCTTCCCACCAGAGGGAGCTCCAAGCAGCAGTGCAGATCCCTTTGCCTCTGCTTTGCTTAAACCCTCCAGGGGCTTCCATGGTGTCCAAAAGAAGTGCAGACCCCTTGGGGTGCAGTGGCTGGGCCCCCTACTCAGTCTCTTTCCATCCTTCCTCGGAATCGCAGCCCCAGCCACTCAGGGCCCTCACACAGGCTCTTCCCACCGCACAGAAAGCTTTCCCCATAGACCTGAGAACAGCCGACAGCTTGTGCTTGTGAATAAAGGTCTGTTGGCACACAGCCACACCGTTTTTTTTTTTTGACAGACTGTCCATGTCACACTAAAACGACAGAGCTGAGTAGTCGCAACAGAGACCATGTGGCCCACGAAGTCGAAAATACTGACTCTGGACCTTTGCAGAAAGTGCCGACCCCGGGGCTAGAGCAGAGGCTGGAGTCGGGCGGGTTAGAGGTAGGGGAGTGGGACGGGAGTGCTGGGCCGGAGCTTGCGCTTCCTCCTCTAGCAAGGGTCTTTCCAGGGAGACGATATACGTATACAGCAGGACGTAGCCCTTGGCCCATCTGTCCAGTACAGTTCAGTGGCCCTGATGACATTCTCTGAGTTGTGGGGCCCTCCTTACCCTCGTCTTCCAAGCTCTTCCTCCCCATGACCATGAACTCACTGCCCCCTGAGCTTCCTGTCTGACCTTTCGAGTTACTGTTAGTTGGATCCCATAGCACAGTTCTTTGCTTTACTATGTGTATGTAATTAACAGGTGTTTATATTTGGGTGCTTTCAGTAGTCCTTACTTCTCCAACCTTTCATGATGTTAACAAAGTTACCCGTGCATCTAAAACCAAGCCGGTTGTTAGCGGTTCACCCTGCTGGTGGCACCCGGTGCGTGTCAGGTGGCACTGTGCTCCACGGGGCGGGTGGGCTGGCTTTCCCCCTCTCTTTCTATAGTTTATTTTTGTTGTGAATATACACAGCAGAGCACATACCAGCTCACCCTTTCTCTGGGTACAGGTCAGTGGCCTTGATTCCATTCTTCAAGGTGTACAGACATTCTTGCCGACCTGCTCCCGATTCTTCCTCTACCACTGACAGACCCTCCCTGCCCCTGAGCTGCTCATCTAACCTTTTGAGTTGCTGTCGTCAGTTTGACTCCATAGAGTGATTTTTTGAAAGAACCCGATGCTCAAGGCAGACATTTTTTACAAGTTAAACTGTTGTTTGGTTTAAAGGTGATTTCGGGGGAGAGTTTTGGTTTCCAGTGTGAAGATCTGAGAGCAGTAGCTTCAGGGATCCCTGCAGCCCCCATAGCTCCAGAAAGTCTAGATCCTGAAGAGTTTAAAATCCTTTTCTGCATATTCCCCCTTTTGATCAGGATTGTTCTGTAGAATCAGTGCCTCTCCTTGTTTTAAAGGCTAACAGCCCCCTTTCAGACACAACCTCCTACAGAGCCCTGATACACAAAATGGTAAAGGTGGGCTCTGGGGGCTGAAGCAAGGGTGGGGTCCCTGTTACCCCTGAGATGTTCCATGGGGATCGGGAGCTGTGACCGGTGTTGGAGCAAAGCCGTAACAGGCTCGACGTGGCTCAGAGGGAGGGGTCTCCTCGGTGCACACTGAAGTCCCCGTAACCTCTCTTCCCACCTGTCGGGAACCTGCAGTGGTGCCGCCTGGGCTGGTGGGGGCTGTCCCTGGCTGGCCGGCCTGGCCCAACATGCCCTTCACAGGCTCTCTCTGCAGGGGCGGCTGACCGGGCTGGGCGGAGAGGACCTGCCCACCATTGTCATTGTGGCCCACTACGACGCCTTTGGAGTGGCCCCCGTATGTACCCCCGGCCCCCCCACGGTCCCTGCACGGGTCGCCCCCAGCCCAGCCCAGATGCAGTCTGTGCGGCCTCCCACACGTGGGCCTTTCCTGTGTTCACATCCTGTGGGTCCTGGGGGTGGGGTGCCAACCAAGCGGCTGCCTGAGAGGGAGGCCAAGCCGGGCTGGGCTGCCTGACCTGTTCCCACAGCGTCTCAGTTCCCCAGCGTTGCTGTAACAGAAATGCCACAGATGAGTGGTTTTATTAAAGAAGAGAGATTTAATTCTCTCACTTAAAAAAAAAAAAACTACCATCGAGTCAGATCCAACTCAGAGAGACCCCTTCTTGGGTTTCCAAGACGGTATCTCTACGGAAGTAGATTGCCCAGTCTTCCTTTCAAGGAGTGGCTGGAAGGCCAAACTCAGGGCGCTGGCTCAAGGGGAAGGCTTCCTCTCCCTGCCCGCTGTGGGGGCAGGTGCTTGTCACCTTCTCTGCACCCCTGGGGTCTCTGCTTGCTCCTGGGTCTTACCTGCTCCTCTAGATCTCAGAGTGATTATCTTACACACACACCCTGTTAAGACCGCATTAACATAACGGAATCTTTCGCCAGATGGAATCACACCCACAGGTCGAAACCTGTAAACTCCTGGGTGAATTCCATCTCCAACGCCCTAGATGACAGTACAATAGCCCATAGGGTTTCCTAGGAAAGGCCAGTGGTTGAGCCCAGAGCTGCAGATGTGGGAGTCGGCTTCTGTAAATATTACAGCCTTGGAGACCCTGTGGGGCAGTTCCACTCTGTCCTCTAGGGGCGCTGTGGGTCAGAATGGACTCCATGGCAGTGGGTTTGGTTTAGGCTTTGCTTCTGTGAAGATTGACAGCCTTGGAGACCCTGTGGGGCAGTTCCACTCTGTCCTCTAGGGGCGCTGTGGGTCAGAATGGACTCCATGGCAGTGGGTGTGGTTTAGGCTTTGCTTCTGTGAAGATTGACAGCCTTGGAAACCCTGTGGTGCAGTTCCACTCTGTCCTCTAGGGGCGCTGTGGGTCAGAATGGACTCCATGGCAGTGGGTGTGGTTTAGGCTTTGCTTCTGTGAAGATTGACAGCCTTGGAAACCCTGTGGGGCAGTTCCACTCTGTCCTCTAGGGGCGCTGTGGGTCAGAATGGACTCCAGGGCAGTGGGTGTGGTTTGGGCTTTGCTTCTGTGAAGATTGACAGCCTTGGAGACCCTGTGGGGCAGTTCCACTCTGTCCTCTAGGGGTGCTGTGGGTCGGAATCAGCTCCAGGGCAGTGGGTTTGGTTTGGGCTTTGCTTCTGTGAAGATTGACAGCCTTGGGACAGTTCTGCTTTGTTCTGCAGGGTTGCTATGGCATCACCTTTAGGGCAGTGGCTTTGAGGGTTTTTTTGGTTTAATCTTTATAAAGCAGACCACCAGGGCTTTTCTCTGGTGGAGTTGAACCGCCGACCCCTCACTTTGTGGCCAGACGCATAACTCTGGTGCCCCCAGGGCTCGTTGGCCACTTCTTCGTGGCAGGTCCTGAGTCGAGCCTGTGTCTGGCCGTCCACAGTGGCTGTCCCACGGCGCAGACTCCAATGGGAGTGGCATCTCAGTGCTGCTGGAGCTCGCCCGGCTGTTCTCCAGGCTGTACACCTACAAACGCACCCACGCTGCGTAAGTACCAACGTTAGTGCCCAAACCAGGGCCGTCCCCCCGAAGGATGGGGGCAGGGCAGCTCACCAGTGGGGTCCAGTGTTCAAGCAGTGTGTTCACGCCCATTCCTATTAGAGCCTCGCAGCCTGGAGGTCACAACCCCAGAGACAGTGGGGCTGCCAGTGTGCCTCTGAATGAGTTAGGAGTGATGTCAGCTGCAAGTAAGAGAAAAACAGCAAACAGGCACTTAACCTGTGGGCCCCCCTCATGACTACTGCCAGGCGGTTCTTCTCTGAGGTGGGGCTGTCCGGTGGGGTGTTGAGCGGCATCCCTGGCTCCCACCCAGTCAACACCGGTGTCACCCCCCCAAGTCATGACAACCACAAATGTCCACAAACATCGCCCAGTGTCCGCTGGGGGCAGAAGCAGCCCTACTTGGGAATTACCGTCCCAGGAGAGGTGGTTCATCTCCCTGAGCCGTTTTCTGATCTGTGGAAAGGGGTGCATGCTGACACAGGGTCTTGGTGAGGATTAAATGAGCTCGTGCATGAGACATCTAAGAGCAGATGGGTGTTAAATGAAGCCTTTGATTATTTACCTAAAAGCCAGCCTGGCTGAAACTTTGTCCCGTGCCTTCAAGTCTAGATGGGGTCTGTCCCACTCAGCAGTGCTCAGAGGGGACCCAGAAGGCAGGAGAGAGTGACAACCAGAGGGAATGACAGGAGCAGAGGCCTGGAGATCACCTGGGGGGGGGTGCTGTGGACCACGATGACTGACCCAGCGGCTCTCCAAAGCCCCCCCCGATTTGTATCAGGTCTCTCCACGTGGTCCTGCTGGCGCGGGCCGGAGCCTTCTCTGGGAGGGACCGTCCTGCCCACCGCAGGGCGCTGACGGGCACCCCTGGCCTCCACCCACTCCACGCCAGCAGCAGCGCCTCCCCCAGTCCTGACAACCACAAGGGTCCCCAGACATCGCCCAGTGTCCCCTCAGGGCAGTGTCACCCAGAGTGACTGACCCCTGAGAGATTCTGCATCCCACAGTCCTCTGGCCTCCTGACGTTCTAGGACGCTGCCCGCTTTTAAATCCACACACTGAGCTGCGGGGAGAGAGGAGGGGCGTCACAGGAGCTGGAGGGCCCCCTGGTTGACACCGTCTGACCCCGCGGGGGTTTATTCTGGTGCACGGTGTGAGCAGGGACTGGAAACAGTGACCGCAGGGTCCCACCCCTCAGCGGTGCTGACGTAGGGTCATCCTGTGGGGTGGCCGTCCTTCAGTGCAGCCCTGCTCCTCCTGTGTCAGCAAGGAGGCGGGGTCTCCTATCACTGTTCATGAGGCCCACTGCGTCTCCTTGTCTAGGACGATTGGCACCTGCTTAATCTCAGCCCCTTGTGGATCTGAGGGGGCTCAGAGAAGCCTCTCCGGCCCCCAGGACTCTGGGCCATGTGTGGGGCCGTCTGTGGTTGTCACGACTTGAGGTGGGTGGGCAGTGAGTGGGTGGGCAGCCCAGGGATGCTGCTCAACACTTGCAGTGCACAGGGGGCTTCCCCCACCCCCAGAGAAGGAGGGTCCAGCCACGTGTCCGCGGCGCTGGGGGGAGACCTGCCCCAGAGGGCTGCCCAGGCGAGCTCGGTGGCGGTCTTCCCGAGCCGCAGTCCTTGTGGGGCTCTGCGACCTGGCCTTGTCTCTCCCGCAGCCCAGGATGCTCACCTGTCAGTAACGCACCCGGTCCTCCCCCGCCAGGTACAACCTGCTGTTCTTTGCTTCTGGAGGGGGCAAGTTTAACTACCAGGGAACCAAGCGCTGGTTGGAAGACAACTTGGACCACACAGGTGAGGGCCCTTCGGAGCTGTGGGGGAAGGGCACCTCTGGCGACCCTGGCCTCCCCTCCCAGCTCTCGGGCCTCACCGGCTCCCCTCCCCCAGATTCCAGCCTGCTTCAGGACAATGTGGCCTTCGTGCTCTGCCTGGACACCCTGGGCCGCGGTCGCAGCCTGCACCTGCACGTGTCCAAGCCGCCGCGGGAGGGCACGCTGCAGCACGCCTTCCTGCGCGAGCTGGAGATGGTAGGCGCCCTGCGGGCGGCACTGGGACCCCAGGCTGGCTAGGACCAGCTCCCCAGGGAGCGGGGTGGCACGGCCCTCTCGGGTTCTCCCAGTTGTGCGGTCCTGGCTCTCACTTGGTCCCACCCAGTCCCCAAGCCTGTTCCCTACGCATGCAGGGCCCTGTGCCTTCCTCAGGACGTGTTCCAGGCAGTAGGGCGGTGTCTCATTCTTCAGTACAGAAAGGGTGGACCCCGCGTCAGAGCCCAGGATAGATCCTCCCCAGGCCCACCAACCGGTCCCCACAGTTCACTGGGTGGAGTCTTCTGAGCCAATGGGATCTGCCTCCCTCCCTGAAGGCACCGCCCCACCCCGCCCACCCTCTGAAGGTGCCGCCCCCTGGAGGCCCCTCCCCCTGCCTGCCCTCTGGAGGCACCGCCCTGTCCCGCCCCTTCAAGGCAGGGCCTGTCGCTTCCTTGTAGGTGACGGCCCACCAGTTCCCTGAGGTGCGGTTCTCCATGGTGCACAAGAAGATCAACCTGGCGGACGACACGCTGGCCTGGGAGCACGAGCGCTTCGCCATTCGCCGCCTGCCTGCCTTCACCCTCTCGCACCTGGAGAGCCACCGCGACGGCCAGCGCAGCAGTATCATGGACGTGCGGTGAGGCCCCGCCCCCAGGCCACTAGACCCACACGACGGTGGGGGAGGGAAGAGCGCAGTGGGCGAGTGCTGGGAAGCAGCTGCTGTTAGTGTGAGAGTGGGTGGCACGAGAATTCCCCTGGGGGCCTCTGCACCCTGCACCCACTGGCATCGTGGTTTTGCCCACAAAGCGACTCTTTTATGGATTTAAGTTAAAGCCAGTGTTGAAAAGTATAGGACGCTTAGTGCAATTTGAATTTCAGATAAACGTGCACTCAAAACGTGCTTCTGGAATTCACAACGAACTGGGTGCCTGCACCCTGGGGACCTTACACCCCCACCCACGTGCTGGGGTTCCTGTCCTGTCCGTCCTGGACCCAGGAGGCCTGGGCCCAGTGCCTGCCGTTCACTGCCCTTCAGGGCAGGGCTCCTGTCTCCTTGGAGATGCTGATATCATGTGTCATGTGGTGGTTACAGTACCATATGTGGTACCATGTATGAAATAGAACTGTAAGTAGTACTGATCACAGAGATGGGTGGTATTTGTCTCTCCTCACAGGTCGTGGGTCGACTCCAAAACACTGACACAGAACACGAGGATCATTGCTGAGGCCTTGACCCGCGTCATCTACAACCTGACCGAGAAGGTGAGCCCTGAGGCTGGCTGCAGGGACTCCGTCCCCACCCGCCCCTAGGGACCTGGGCTCAGCCATCCCTCCTCTCCCCACAGGGAACCCCTCCTGATATGCCCGTCTTCACCGAGCAGATGGTAAGGGGGCTGGACAAGGGTGGGAGGGGCGCATCAGGTGGGTGAAAGCGGGGGTGAGGCCACCAGGGAGGGCCGGGAGGGCAACAGAGCGGTCCTGGTTACGGGGAGGGCAGGGCAGGCTGGACCAGGGGTTGGGGTTGGGCTGGCCAGGAGAGGGTGGCAGGGAGGCCAGATTGGGACGCCATGCAGGTTGGAGGGGGCTGGGGCTGAAGGAGAGGGAAGGGGAGCAGAGCCTGCCAGATGGGCTGCGTGGGGGAAGTGGGCAGACGGGGTGGGGATGGTGGCCCTTCGGGGAGCTGGGTGGGAGCCATGGGGAGGGTGCCGGGCAGGGGCAGTGACCTTGTGCACGCCCGCAGCAGGTCCAGCAGGAACAGCTGGACTCGGTGATGGACTGGCTCACCCACCAGCCGCGGGCTGCCCAGCTGGTGGGCAGAGACAGCACCTTCCTGAGCACGCTGGAGCACTACCTGAGCCGCTACCTGAAGGACGTGAAGCAGCACCACGTCAAGGCCGACAAGCGGTGCGGGCCGCTCCCACCCCTGCCAGCCCCTGTCTGGCCCTGCACGGCCCTCATGGCCCCCTGTCCGGCCCTGCACGGCCCTCGTTGCCCCTTGTCAGTCTCCATCTCCCCAATAGTGGAGCTCTGGAGCGGGCAGTGGGGAGGCCTGCACCTCCCATGGGGCTTCCTGAGCCCCCAGTAGCCAGGTCTAGCGCAGAAAACCAGAGGCCGGAAGAAGAAAAAGGATAGGGTGCCCAGTGAAATTTGAATTTTAGATTTAAAAAAAATTATTTAAAGTTTATTTCAAGTATTACACAGGCTATGTTTATACCAGTGGTGCAGTGCTTAAGCGCTCAGCTGTGAACTTGAAGGTCAGTGGTTCAAACCCACCAGCTACTGTGCTGGAGAAAGACACGACAGTTGGCTTCCATGGAGACTGACAGCCTTGGAAACCCTGTGGGGCAGTTCCACTCTGTCCTCTAGGGGCGCTGTGGGTCAGAATCGACTCCCAGCAATGGGTTTGTTTTGGGCTTGGCTTCTGTAAGACTGACAGCCTTGGAAACCCTGTGGGGCAGTTCCATTCTGTCCTTTAGGGTCGCTGTGGGTCGGAATCCACTCTGCAGCAGTGGGTTTGGTTGGGTTTTATACTTGTACTGAAAATGTGTTTGTTTATATCAAATTCAGAGTGGACTGGGCACCTTGCACTTTGTCTAGTGACCCTACGCCCTCACCTACCCACAGGGTTCCTTTCATGCTACAGTGCCGGGTGAATCTGACCCTGGTGTCCGTTGTCCTGTTGTCCTGTGGACCACCTAGATTTTGTCCTTTGTACACACGGGGCTCCCTGATCTGCCCTCTTGTTCCAAGTGAGCACCACACAAGCAAGTAACATCTCCCGAGACCACCCAGTCCCCCTCAGAGATTTGCCACTCCTCTCCCGTCTCATGGCTGCTCATAGCTCCTGAGAAACAGGTTCTGAACGGAAGAGGAAACCGAGGCTCAGAGTGAACCTATAGCCATGAGCGAGGGTCTCTGTTTCCTTGGCAGAGACTTCCCAGAAAGGAACATTTCTGCAGGCCCTGTATTTCCACACAGCAAAAGCCAGAGGAAGACTCTGACTTTAGGGCAGGACAGCACTTCCCCAGCAGGGGCCGCCGGCAGCCTTGCGATGACACGAGTGAGGTGCTGGGGCAGGTCCAGTGTCGGGAAGCCGCAGGACGGCTTTGGCTTTGGCTTTGGCGTGGTCTCAGAGAGGAGAGCTCAGGATGGGACTGATGTCTCCGAGCCCCCTGACCCTGCACTCTGTCTTCTAGGGACCCCGAGTTTGTTTTCTACGACCAGCTGAAGCAGGTGATGAACGCGTACAGGTGAGTGGTGGGCCACCTTGCCCTTGCGTGTGGTTTCATATGACCTGTTGGGGTCAGGAGTCCATGTATGTTGTCCCCACGTGTGAGGATGGAAAGCACCATCCCCAAGGCCACTCTTAACTTCTGGCACCACCTGCAAACCCAGGGGCTTGATAATGCAGGAAAAGGGCTCACGGTCATGGTTTATCACCATGCAAGGGTCCGGGTGGGGACCTGTCACCCTCCCCACGTCAACTTGTGACAGCATTAACAGAGCTCTGCCAACATGGACACTCTCCTGGGCAGCACAGGGCACACCCAGACGTCCTGCCAGGGCTCAGGGTGATTGGTCGGTTGCCTACATCACTGATCTCAGTCTCCAAATCACCCGGTACCGTGGGATACTGACAACCCCACCCTAAATCCTGCTGTGACCGGAACCCCAAGCGGACCCACCCCAAGTGGACACAGTGGCCCTGGGCCTAGAGGCCACTTCTCAGAACCTTGTGGAGTCCTGGTCCCCATTCCCCCTGTAGCGCTTGCTTGTTGGAGCTGTGGGGACGGGGCCCTGTGCCGCTGGCCCTGCAGCCCTTACACTCACTCCTCCTGCTTCCCACCCTTCCCCGCAGGGTCAAGCCGGCCATTTTTGACCTGCTGCTGGCTGTCTGCATTGGTGCCTACCTCGGAATGGCCTACACAGCTGTGCAGGTGAACGGGCGAAGCGGGGCTGCCGGGTGACCAGGGAGTCGGGGTGATGTGGCAGGGGCGGGACCAGTGCGTCAGCCCCCAAGCAGGTGACTGCCCAGGGCCACTGGCTCCAGATGCCCACCGTGTCCTTGGGCCCCGGGCTTTGCCGGCCTCACCCTCCCTCCTTCTCTCCTCCTGCCACGCCCAGCACTTCGATCTCTTGTACAAGACAGTGCAGAGGGTACTCCTGAAGGCCAAGACACAGTGACCTGGAGCCCAAGGCTGCACCGCGCGGAGCCCACACCTCCCGCCAGTGCAGGCAGCCAGGCAGACCTCCCTCTGCACCCGCAGTTGAAACACTGAACAAGAGGTTTTTTGTGTTGCGCTTCTGGGCGTGGGGTATTCGTTTCCTTTTTCCCTCTTCCCTCTGGACTTGTGTGGAGAACCGGACAGCGACCTCGGGCCGGCGGCTGTACCGCATGCCCACCCAGCTTCGTGTGGCGTGAGCAAAGAGAGAAATGCACCAGGACGGCCCCCGCCTCCCAACACCACGATAGCGACCTCGACGCCCAGGCTCTGCCCTCTGCCGGGCTGTGGCCAGGGCAGCCCAGGCCCCGGCAGCTTCTGGGTACGGCCCCTGTGGAGCGGCCGGGCCTCAGCAGCCCCGCCACCTCTCCTCTTCTTCCCCCCTGCTCGCCGGCTCACCCGCCACCCTGTGTGCCGTCCTCGCTGGGCCCTTGAGAGGATAGCAGTGCCCGCTGAGGCTCCGGGTCAGTTCACAGGCAACATGTCCTCCACGCCCACCCACCCCTCCCAGCGCTCCACTGTCCCTTCTGTCGTGTTCCTGCTGAAGTGTGCCAGGCAGTGACTGTGCGAGGCTGCCAGTCCTGCCCCCTCCTGGCTTTCCCGCTGCCACTCAGCTTTCTGGGACGTAGGCATTTGCGATGTCCCAGCCAGGCCCGAGGGGACGGCTAGCACCTGGTGGGGGGACAGGGCTGCTGGCCACCCAGGGGCCCCCAGGCCCTTGCGCCTTCCCTGCTCTCGAGAGGCTGCTGTCCCAGCACATGGAGATGGAGGAGGCAGGGAGCAGGGGAGTGGGAGCCGTTACCACCCAGCCAGGCGGGTGGCAAGGGCCAGGCCAGAGTTGACCTCAGGGAGACCAGGTGTGTCCATTCGTTAGCAATATAATGTGTACCCTAAGGGCGGACGGGCCTGGGTGCCACTGGGGCCCTGTGTCACTGCCAGCAGGCCCTGAGGCTGGGGGCAGACTGCCCTTAGGTCCTTGTCCTCCAGACGGCCCCTGGCTGCCCTGGGAAACTCGGGAGGAGGAGGGGCGACCCACTTCTGTCCAGCCAGACCCTGCATCCTCCCCAACGCTGCAGACTCCAGGGGGCTGTGTCTCCAGGCCCACAACCCCCAGGGCCAGCGACCTGGCCCTGCCTCCCCACCCTTCACTGTGTCAGCCCAGCCCGGCCCGGCAGCACTGGCCTCCCAGGCCCGGCGGAAAGGCATGGCCATGGGGTCGGAGCCTCCCCTGTGCCCTCCCCGCCCAGGGTACCCCCAGAGCCTATCGACTGAGTGTCCCAGGAGCTGAATGCAGCCTGAGATGGGCTCCAAGGCACGGAGGGCTCCCCTGAGCTGTTCACACTGATATCCCTGAGTCAGCGACCCCCCCTTCTTTCCTGGGTGGGTCCTTATGACAGCACAGCTACCCAGTGCCCACGCTGGTGGGGACGGTGGCCGTCCTGGGAGAGAAATAAAGCCATATTGAACGATTGAGCACAAGTGTCTTCTTTGAGGCTTGAGGGCTGGGAAGAGCTGGATCTGTGGCCAGTCTCGGGGTCACCTGCCCCCGTGGTGGATGGACAACAGCCCTAATCTGAGTAAGGGGAGGGAGCACCACCCACGTGGGAGGGGTCCTCAGCTGCCGCCTTGTGCCTGTCTGCCCTCGGGCATCTGGCATCCCTGTGGGTCTCAGCACCAGGCCTCAGGACCAGGGAAGAACAAGACCACAGGGTTCACGTAGCACCCGTTGGCCTGCTATGCTAAGGGGTGGTCCCCCTGAAGACACTCAGGGCTGTTAACTTGGGGATCAGTGAGGGCCTCCCACTGTGTACGGCACCCTGTCCTGGGGTCCAGAGAGGGCTCAGCCTCAGCACCCCTGCAGACACCCCCATGCCCGGGCAGCCCTGGGTCAGGGTCACATCCAGAAGGTCCAAAAGATGTTTGTGTGGTTGGGGGTTGGGTGTGGCAGCCAGAAGGCTTCCTGGAGAAGGGGTTTTGCTCTATGCAAGGTGGCAAGAGTTTGCCACATGGCAGACAAGGGCACAAAGGGCATTCCTTTCTGGTGACAGTGCATAGGTGGACACAAACTGGCGTGTATATGGACTTTATTTTTTAATAGACTCTTCAGAGGGGAGCTCTGGTGGCGTAGTGTCTAAGGCATTTGACTGCTAACCAGAAGGCTAGAGGTTCAAAGCCACCAGCCACTCCTCAGAAGATTGGGTAATCTACTTCTGTAGAGATAGCCTCGGAAACCCAAGGAGGGGTCTCTCTGAGATTCAATTCGAGGGCAGTGAGTTTGGGGGTGTTTTTTAGTGTGGTTGTAGGTTACAGAAAAAGTGCAGAAGGTAAGAGTTCACATAGACCCCGAGGGGGCTTTGGAGTGAAATCAAAGGGCAAGGGTTAAGCCTGATGGAGATGTGGGGGAGGGGTGTTCCCTGCAGAGGGCGCAAGCTGTGTAAAGGCCCTGGGGCAGGCCCGGGCCTGGTGAGTTGGAGGAACAGCCAGGAGGGGGCCCTGTGCCTGGAGTGGAGTAAAGGAGGAGGTGGAGGTGGGCAGGGCCCTGGGACTGTGGGGGGGGACTCCTACCCCAGGAGGCGGGGCCCTGGAGGGCTGTGGGCGGACGTGCTCACGGGCGGCCTCTGGTGCAGCGGAAGGAACAGTGGGGGGGGGGGGGAGAACCGTATGGTGTCAGGGGAGATGTCAGGCAGAGTGCACTGCACCGTGCAGCCACGTTTTACTCTCCGTGATGGGACACTGGAGAGGGACGTGGCCTGGCTGGCAGTTTGGAAAGGTCCCTGACAGCCCAAGGACAGTAGAAGATTATGAAGGTGAACTCAGATCACGTCTGGGGGCCAGGCACGTGTGAGGGCTCCCTGAGCACCCCCATCCACCCAGACCGCAGCTGAGGAGTGGCTAAGATGCGTCCACCAAGGCAGGCATTGCACACACTCCTGGGGCCCAAAGGAGGCTACAGCCAATGGCTTTAATCTCTTCCTGGAGGCAGGGGCTAGATTGCCCAACCTTCCTTCTGAGGAGTGGCTGGTGGGTTTGAACCTCCAGCCTTCTATTAGCAGTCAAATGCCCCTCAGTCATTGCACCACCAGAGCGCCTCCTTTTGTTTTTTATGTAAAGGCAAGAAAGAAACGAAGCCTGTTGCCACGGAGGTGATTTGGACTCCCCGAGACCCCACGTGTGTCAGAGTAGAACGGTGCTCCAGGGGCCTCCGAGGCTGATTTTGGGGAGTAGATTGCCAGGCCTTTATTCCGAGGGACATACTGTCCTAGACCGTTCCCCTTACTGTAGACGTGTCATCAGGAGGACCCGATAACTGGGGCAGGACATCGTACTTGGTGAAGAGGAGGGCCAAGGGAAGCCCTCGAGATGGACTGACACAGTCGCAACCCTAGCCACACGCACGCCAGCGGCCGTGAGGACGGCAGGGGACCAGACAACGTTTTGTTCTGTTGTACGTGGAGTCGTCATGAATTGGAGCTGGCAGACAACAAACAACACAATAATACGCTGGAGGACCCACCCTGCGGGCTCTCGACACCTCCAGGCCCACAGACTCATTTTGCTCCCCCTCGACCATTCCCTGATGTGGCTGATGATGCCAGGCATCGCAGACTAAGTCTCAGGAATGAGTGTCATTGGGGGGTGAAACCTGAACTACACTAGGCCTCTCTCCATCCTTTCCCCGACCCCTCCCTATTTTGTGTAGAAGGAGGGCCTAAACCAACGCATCTTTGGCTCACGGGAGGGTCGATGGGCTTTCACATTCGTTTTAATGAGGCTCCATCTCCTCAGAGGCCCGCTGGACTCTGAGCGTTTTGCTCCAGTCTCCATGGAGACAGCAGCTGCCTCCCTGGCCTTGGCCAGGCTGAGCCTGAGTGCCAGAGCTGGGAAGGACCATGGGGTGGAATGTGGTGGGAGCACTTCTAACCCCTCACCCCTGCTTTGCTCCTCACCCAACTCTGATGTCCGTCCGTCTCCAGGTGACCAGGTGACGGCTGGTTATTACAACAATAGGCATTTGTGGAGCATTAAGGATGTACTCTGTTGCTCTGGTGGTGCAGCGGCTAAGGTATTCAACTGCGACAATGTTGGCGGTTCAAACCCACCAGCTGTTCTGTGGAAGAAAGATGAGGGAGTCGGCTTCTGTAAAGATTGACAGCCTCGGAAACCCTCTGGGGCAGTTCCACTCTGTCCTCTAGGGGCCCTGTGAGTCGGAATCAATTCCACACCAGTGGGTTTGGTTTGGGCTTTGCTTCTGTGAAGATTGACAGCCTTGGAAACCCTCTGGGGCAGTTCCACTCTGTCCTCTAGGGGCGCTGTGAGTCGAAATGAATTCCAGGCAAGTAGGTTTGGTTTGGGCTTTGCTTCTGAAGATTGATAGCCTTAGAACCCTATGGTGCAGTTCCACTCTGTCCTCAAGGGGCGCTGTGGGTCGGAATTGACAAGACAGGTTTGGTTGAAGGGGTACCACTCATCTGTCTGTGTTGCACTGTGGTGGCTTGCATGTTGCTGTGATGCTGTAAGGTATGCCACCAGAATTTCAAACACTAGCAGGGTCACCCATGGTGGACAGGTTTCAGTGGGACTTCCAGAGTAAGAGGAAACCTGACAATCTACTTGAAAAACATTGCTAGTGAAAATCTTATGTAAAGTAGCAGAACACTTCTGACAAAGTGTCGGAAGATGAGCCCATCATGTTGGGAGGCACTCAAAACGTGACTGGGGAAGAACTACCTCCTCCAAGTAGAGTCGACCTTAATGAAATGGGCAGAGTAAAGCTCTCGGGACCTTCATTTCCTGATGGGGCATGACTCAAAATGAGGAGAATCAGCTGCAAACATCCATTAATTAATCAGAATGTGGAATGTACAAAGCATCAATGTAGGAAAATTGGAAGTTGTCAAAAATGAAATGGAACGCATAAAGATTGATATCCTAGGCTTTAGTGAGTTTAAACGGACTGGTTTT